CGACGTGCATTCAGTCTTCGACATTCAACGTTGTGAGGCCCAACGGGGCTGTGTTGGGTTTGTTGCTGTTGCTGTTGCTTTGGTCGTGCGGGACGACAGCTGCAGATACAGTACAGTGGTAGGCAAGTGGACAACCGGGCAACCTGCCAGGGGATGTGGATCAGGAGGTGGGGTAACCGTGCTTCTTTTGTCTATTACGGAGTACTGATCTGGGATACGTGAAAATCACAGGCCTTGGTATCCGCCGCCACTGCACAGTGCGACCCATACTGGGATGGGTTTTCTCAGCTTGTGAACTTGAAAGCTCATTTGAAGCCAGAAGCGTCGCTACCCAAGCGCGACATCGTCATATGCGAGGGCTTTCAATAACATCGTAGGCCTTCAAAGTGAGATCTCGGTATTCCATATCGTTTGTCATTGATGAATGAGGGAGTATACTAACGAGCACTCTCAGCTGACTTATCGTCACCGTGACCGTGTGAGGTGACAGACGACTTGCATCATAGGTGGGGTGTCCATGCTTCGCGCTCGTATATTGCTGATGCGTGGAAATCACAGGCCTCTGTCGCTACAGTGCAGGGTGCGGCTGCTGGACTGTACGATCTAAAGCGGGACGGTACTCCTCAGTCTTCAGTTGGTGAGAACGCTCGTTGACATGCTTTGAGTCCGTCAGCGCAGTCGTCATGGGCGGTGGCTTTTGAATTTCGGATACTTGGATACGAGCGAAACACATGTCTCGGTATGTGCGTCGTTTTGGCTTTAGGTCGATGACAGTGTTTACTCAAGCGACACGGATGGAGTCGCGTTCGCTCGCTCACAGCTAGGTTTCTATCAGCATACAAAGCGACAGGCAGCCTGCGTCATGAGGTCAGGTTTCCGAACTTCGCGCTCGTGTATCACTAATGCATGGTTATCACAGGCATCTGTCACCGTAGTACGCAGCGTGCTGCTACTGAACTGTACGACCCAAAGCGGGACACGTCGTATCGCATGCTGCGCACTCGTATGAGATCGTGCACGTCGTCACTGAGCTTGAGTGCGTCAAGTTCGTCATACGCGGAGGGTTTGGACTATGCGGCCTGTGACATGATTAGGCTTCGTCGCCTTGTGCCACGGCAACGAAGCCTAATGTTGTTGCGTCGGCTGTCTATCCGCTCCGCTGCAGTCTGGGCTATGAAGGTAAATGATCCGTATCCGTTCGGTATCGCTGTTGTGAAGTTATAGCAACATCATTGGCTTCTAGCTTTAGCACGCAGTGCGAATCTGTTATCACTTGTTCATGCGTTTTGAACGGTGCGTATCTTGTCAACGAGTACGAGTGAGGCGTAAGGACTGACCCAGGTCATAAATCTCGCCAGTCAAACATAGGTGGAGGCTTTTTGAGATGCAGGCTGCTTCATCCCAACGGCCATTTAACCTCACATTGTACCGGAATGACGTCCAGAAATCGGATACGCATGCGCATAGAATGTGGGTACGCTCACACTTCACATCAACTGTGCGACATCGCTGCGACACTTATACAAATTTTATCACTACTACTATACTTCAGGGCTTGAAAAGCATGCACTTTATCTGACGGCAACCAAAGATCGTAGATGTCGTCGACGGTCGTTCGTCATAAGCGGAAGCATCTCGAGCTCATGCTGCGCAACGCGGAAACACCCACCCAGCACAACGGTCCATTTCGATCCTTCACCCGCCCATTCTTACTAGGCCAGAGCGGATGCGGGTCGTCGCTCGTCAACGCACGCCCACAACGTGCGGGAAAGGCAAAGAAGGTTAGGGTCTGACCAAATGGGGCAGGGCGCATCAACGGATTAGCCGACGTCGGGGGCTCGGGCGTTCAGTAGCAAAATTGGCGTCATCGGCCGTCGGGACCCGGGAGTCGGTCCGGCGCTTTGAGGCGTGCCTCGGCGCTCCGATGGCGCGCTAACGCGCCAAGCGAGGGCCACGAGGGCTGGTGCCTTTTTTTCGCGCCATTTCGTCCTCGAGTCGGGCGCCGCCCTCGACGATGCGGTGGATACTGAGGACGTTGGAGAAACACCTAGGCTGGAGGTACGTTCGTCATTCCATGCTCCTAGGTCGATTACTGAAACATGTGCGGATGCAAATAGACGAATTCGCGTTCTAGCATCTAGCACGAAGGACTCAAGACCCCCTATCTGCGCATTCGCCGTCTGGACGGCGACATCATCCTGAATCATGGCGATCATGACGCGGTCCGTGGACGCCTACAGCGAAGGCCTCGCGTTCGTCTGATCCTCTCCACCGTCCGGCCTTGCTCACACAGGGGCGTGCGATCGCACACTTTCCAATCTAAGCTCCGGACACACGCTCACTCTCCTCGCTCTCGGTCGCCCATCCAAATACAGAGGCCAAGCGCAACTCGTATGCATGTGCAGCGGCGACAGGCACCCTACGGCGAAAATTTGTGGGGAGTGGGAGGCCCTTGACGTCCTGGGGGACGACGCGGAGGCAAATCCGGTGCCCATATCGCGCGCACAGTCTGGAGAAATGGACTTTGGACACTTTCGGGCGCGCAACATGTGCTTACGCACGCCCGCTGGCGCCTCCGCCCCGACACCCAAGCCCAGGTTCTGCGTTTGAGGGCGCCCGCCGAAACTTTGCAAAAGTCCTGCTCTGTCGCGCGCGCCGACGCGCTCTCTGTCGCCCAAGCTGCAGCCGCACGTCGAAGCCGCCGTGTCGTCATCGTCGAAGCAGATCGGTACCAGCGAGGCGACACACGGGCCGCAGTACGACTAGTGCGGCGCGTGCCCGCGCCAACGCTCCTCGCTCTCCGCCATGTTCGCCGACCGCGGGGAACTTTTGCCGTGAAAAAGCGTTCTAGGGTGCATCACGTGCGCGTGCCGCCCTCTCTCTCCCCTCCCCCCTCCGGTCGGGTCGAGCCAGGCCTGCCAATCGCAGAGGCGAGTTTCAAAACTCAGACCCAAACAGGCGGAGGGAGGTGGAAAACAAACGCCTATTTGCATTCTGTCATATTGACCCCCCGGAGCCGTTGGTCCTTGGGTGCGCCCGGGGATTTATAATGGAGGCCCCGTCTGCCGGGCAATGCTGATCTCTTTCCTCGATCCTTGCCCCTACCCCTCTCGCCGCTGCCCCCTTTGAAGTCGACGATGCAAATCCGCACGCTCTCTGTCCTTTTCGCGCTCTTTGCGCTGCTCGTTCTCGCTGCGGATGCACGGCCGTGGCGCGGCATGCGCGATGTCATGAAGAAGAGGCTCAACGCCGAAGAGCGTGACTTGACGAACGCGGAGAGGCTTGCGCGTGGGTTGCCTCCCCGCGCACCCGGTTTGAAGCGTGTCATGGGTGCGAGAGCGGCCGTGTCTCCTTCCCCTTCGACGACGACCCCGACAAGCACTGCGCATCCCTCGCCTTCCCCGTCTTCTGGTGGTTCTGTGTAAGTGAAGGGAGTACGGAACCGAGGCTCTGGAATAAGACTGAAAAGCGCGCTGTTCACAGGTTCTCCGGACGTATCGCAGTCACCAAGGACGATAAACTCGTCGGTTTCTTGAACAACACGGCTTCTGGACTGTAAGCGCTTGAGGTCCCGTTTCTTAGCTGCGGGTCTGATATCATCTGGGTATGACTAGTGGATCGGTAGATCTCGACGGCGCTGCAGGCACCGATATCGAGGTCAAATTCGCGTTTACCTCTGCTAAGAGCCCTGTTAGCGTTGAGGTGACAGTAAGTAGAAGTAATCGCAGAGCCGTATTCGTACTGACTTGAGCGTATCTCCAGAACCCTCTGTTCAGCGGTCCGGCGTTCCTCGGAGGCGCCTCGAACACGACTTTGGCCAGTGACTCCGCTGCGTAAGTTTTCGAGCGATTCCACTGCAAAGCCCGGCGGATGCTGAATTATACTGGCGTAGCGCGGTAAAAATCTCCGATGTTCCGCAGAGTGAGTTTTGAGTTATGTCCGTGAGTTGTTCAACGCTGATGCGAGAGACCTTCACAGCGCGTTCTGGTGCCCGCCCGACCGCAAACGGCGCCTCCGGTATCTGGCTCTATCACAGGCGTTCGCAGGAGTTCACAGGTCCGTCTGGCATTGATCTGATGCTGCAGTGGTGCGTGGGGTGCTAACTGGTTGGGCGTAGCGCAATGGAGGAACACGGACGGCACTAGCGTGAACGCTACCATCGCGTTCGACGCCGCGGCCAACTTTGTCTTCCTCACGGGCGACTTGGCCGCGTACAACGCCGCAGCGAACGCCACCGCAGAGGCAGTGGTACGTCCCATCATCCCAATTCGGCTTATCCGCACTTGTCTGATTTTGACGGGTATCATTCTCCGTATTTCTTTGCAGGAGTTCGTCTTGACAAAATAAAGACGCGCTAGATATCGGGATGCAGAGGTTGCGTTGTAATCTTGTACATAGCTTGGTGTACACTTGTACTTGTGGCGCCTTGGACTTTGGTAGTGTATCTCTTGCCGCTGTATCCCTAGTGTCTGGACTCTCCGAAGCTCCTGTCCTTACTGTATCGTATGCCTAGTGGTTCCATGGACTCAGTGTTGTTTCCGATACGTACGGACTTGTAAAGCTTGTCTATATTCTTTCCCCCATCCTATCACTTCCGCAACCCTTTCGAAGCCTTGTAGAGGCATTCTTGTCACCTCATGTAGTTTATCTTGATTGTACGCGCTATTGTAGGAGTATGCAAGCGATGACTACATGTTTTCCCGGACCTTTGGCCTGCGGGACGTTTCTTCGAAAAGTCCGAATCAGCGGTTTGCGCTCGCATAGGCACCATTACGAGTAGCCACAGACTTTCTAACATACGCAATCCACTCCGTAGCTGAAGCCATCGAGAAAATTGATAGAATGTACGGTCCAGATATTTTCGTATTCTGGCTTGCAAAACGAGGACTTCCGCGCTATGTAGACTTCGCCCCACCGGTTATATAGTAAAGCCGGTAAAACCGCAAAAAATCGCCTTCGCCATCGACGGGACGCGGAAAACGCAAAAAAGGTATCTCAGTAGCCCACCGCGAGGGTCGAACTCGCAGCCTTCAGATGCCCTTGAACTCGTAAGAGTCTGACGCTCTATCCGATTGAGCTAGGCGGGCGATATCTGTCTTCAAGCGCTACAGCTCTTGACGCCTAGGTTTGCAAAAGGAGTTCACCACGGAAAGAGACATGATACACGGCTGCGAGAGACACTGCGCTCAACAATCGCCAGCATGAGAGAGCTGATGATGGGCGTACCTGGCTTGCGTTTCGGATGTCACAAACCCCTGTTTGAATTCTGGACTCTCCGCCGTGGACCGTTTCGAGACCGCGACGGACAACATATCCCGCCATGAGAAGCACCAGCAAGATCGTTCAGAATACCGCAGATTGGACGGAATGGGACGGTTAGGATGTCGCTTTGGCCCCGCCGACGCTGCGTAGTTTAGGCGAGTCCCCTATAGACATATTGCGCGATAACAGCGGGCGATGTCGACGGGGTATGCTTCGCAGATCCGGTGTATTGTAAGAGCTCTGATAGAGTATGAAGTGTCGTCATAAGACCCCTTGTGATTAAGGCTGGAACGAGATGTGGAGGCCATGCGTGTTACAGGGATCGAGAGTGTCCAATACCTGGCATATAGGCTTCAGAGAGATGAGAAATGGTTGTCTGCCTGCGCAGTTCTATGAGTGGTTAGGCACAAATCGCCACAAGCATCGACTTACTGATCCGATTCCTTCTACACTCGTCCACTGAGTAGCCATGACACGTCAACACCGCGTCCAATGGTACATCGAATTCACGATGAGGATAAACAAGAGCGAAAATCACTTGAGGCCGGCTGTACCATCACAATACACACAGATGAAGCGGATCCATTCAACGATGAGAGAACGAATGCTCGAGAGCGTGGTCGTCGTCGAGAAGCAATGAACTGGCCTGCTGTTCGCCAAACGCCCGGCATTTGGTGTCACCCTCTACGAAAGGCAGGTCGTTCCCACGGGGCGCGAGGCGAAGTGAGGTCACTGTACAAGTTTAGCCCATCTAAAGTTGACAACGACCAACACATCTTTACCCCAACCACTCGGCATCAGACCGCTCACGACTCTTCACGACATTAAATACCCCAGGAAACATACAAAAAAACACCAACTTGACTAGTTATACCATGGCTGCAAGCCGTAGCACTCGCGACGAGCGCGAACGCCAACCGCTCCTCGCAGGTCAACGATCTATCGACAAGACCGAAGTATATCCCTACATACAAATGATACGGAAGGTGCGTAGGCTGTTTGTATGTGTGGCTTGAAAACTCTGAATCCACTTCAGGATGCAATGGTGCGTGCCTATGGCTTGTCTAGAACACTTATAAGGTTGACGGATGGTGGATCAGCAATACATAGGTGCGTGGCGCTGAAATGGTTCGAGACTGTAATTTCACGACTTCAATGTTTCAGATACCCCATTAAGTCCCGAGACAGTACGTCTCTCCGTACTTTTCATCGACATGATTTTGATGACGGGCATACTTGGCAGATGTCAGCGCCAGACATTGTATATTCGGTTATCGTACCCCTCGAAGAGAAGTACAAGGCAATACAACAAGCAGGAAACTGTTCCATCGTTTTTTGTCTACTCCTCAACCGCGCATACTTCCTGCGCGACCGCAACCTCATCACCTCCACTCTATCTCGCACACGCGCCGCACTATGCGAAAAGCTGGCTATTCGCGCAATACACGTCCACGCGACAAATATGCTCGATCTTGCCTTGGCACTGACCACATCTTGGCCTGTGTATAACGGAGCGGATCCTGCGCTAGTAGCGCGTGCTCGAGAGGAAATGGACGATGACCTGGAGGAACGCGTGGGCAATGCGATAGAAGTCGCAATCATCAGCCAGTCGCGGACCTTCCTCAAATCCCAGCCTGTCCAGAAGGTTATCGATGCGATCTGGAGGTATGAATACCCTTATGAAGTCCTATATTCCGTCGAACTTATGAACGTTCCAGCGGGAAAATAGTCTATCAAGCTGAAAGCACGCGGTCTATCTTGTCAGATGTATGCTGAGCGGTCCGTCGACGGCTCCGGAAGCTGACCTTTTCCCCAGACGTACAAACGCAATCCCATGCACTTCTACGATCCACACAAGGCGCCGCTCCTTGATCACTACCGGTATGTCCGCTGACAGCGAATTCCGTAGCGATCTGATCTCTTGGCAGTCTGAAAGTCCCCGCCGTCCGCTCGGTGCTGGAATACTTCAAGTCTGTTCTATCTTCTCATCCCAAGCGTCTAGCTTTCTGACATCTTTTGGTCAGCTTTCTGGTGCTGTTCATCCTTTTCATCCTAGCTTTGGAGTTCAGCGAACGAGATAAGCTGAATATATGGGAGCTCCTGTTCATGGTTTACTCACTCGGATTCAGCTTGGAGAAAGTCGCAGCCATGCAGGAACATGGCATCAAAGGTGCAGTATGCCCTGATCGTCATGTATCACATTACTGAATGCATGTGGTCCTTTCCAGTATACTTCAAAGGTACCTGGGTAAGATTGCATCAATCCCGCTTGATTCGGCGTGCTGATATCACTAGAATGGTTTCGATCTTGCTTTTGGTATGTGCTAGCGTCATAAATGACGTAGTCTTTCTAACAATGTCAGTTACACTATATGTTACGTACGCTGTTCTACGGATCGTCGGAGTTTCACATCACCGTGAGTACTCCGATTGGTATGTTCCCATATGTACGCTGAGTCCCCGTAGGATTGTGGGCCCGCGCGATGGGCATAGATTGTCTCGCTCTCATTGCTGTTCTCATGTTCCCCCGGTGAGCTTGTCTTTTTAGAGGGGCAATTCACACATAATTATGCCGTCATTCTAGTCTTGCTTTCGTCACTCTCAAAAACAATCTCATGGTCCTGTCCTTACGTGCAATGATCGTACAATTTATTGTCCTAATGTTGTTGGCCGCATTCTGCTTCGGCGGGTTCTTGTATGCCCTATGGACGTAAGTATTCACTCATTCTGACGATCTTCATCACATACTCAGCATCTTGTACAAACAGTCTGGCCAGGAACGGTGCTGGGTAGGTGCACAGGTATCGCAATAAGAACTTACGCTAATACGCATTGTATCCTAGATATACAGTGGGGTAGGCCCGTGAATCAGCTTTGACTGTCATGTTTGACTTAGCCTATGATATCTTTATCAGGCAGACAGCGTGGTGGATGCTTGATCTTTTCTTTGGCTTAGACGCGTCAGGATTTGACAATTCAAGTCAGTTTCTCCCGTCTCTACATTTTGTCGGCTTGCTCATTTTACCATAGCACAGTATCACTCTGTATTTGGCCCATTGCTCATGGTGACATACGCCTGCCTGAGCAACACCCTTCTTGTCACAGGCAAGATCTTTTCACTATCTTGTATGTCGTAGCCGACCTGATCCACTTCGTATCCAGTGCTTGTATCCGTAAGTACTCTCGACAGCCACCGTCTCATACACCACTCAGTCAATATGTAGATATTGTCACATACGTTCTCAACGATTAGCGATGATGCACAGGCGGAGGTGAGTCTCGCAACCAGCGATATGACGAAACCCTAACCATACTGGACGATAGGCCATGTTCCGGAGGGCCGTTTCAACTATCGAGGGGTGTGTATACCGCGTACGTATCATTTGTAGAGTCGTACTGAGAGGAGCGCAGTGTCAAAGCCGACTCTTTATTCTCGTACCAACCACCGGTCAATCTCATCGCGCTATGCATCATGCTTCCTGCAAGCTACTGCCTCACGCCGCGCTGGTTCCACAAAGTATGGCAATTTTCATGTATATGAGCTGCTCTGATGTAATCTTGTTTCCGTAGGTAAATGTTTTTATGATTAGGTAAACATTATTCCCTGCTATCATTATTCATTACTAACGGTACTTTGGAAAGGTTGACGAGTTTCCCAATCCTTTTGTTGATCGCCTTGTATGAGCGACAAGCAAAACAAAGCGGTGCCTTGACTTTCTATGAGACGCTGTCGTCGGCTGCGGAAAAGATATACGATGCATTACCCCGGCCGCTCAAAAGAATATGTAAGCGATATGTTCTAACTGTCTCAGCCATGCTCAACCACGTTTGTAGCCATTTTCGAGGGACTGGCCGGATATGACGCGGACATCGACGTTGTACGTTGACTTGCAGGATCATGTTCATAGATGGTTCACATTACTTTACAGATACTCGAAATCGAAGAAGAACTCGAAAATGAAAGTGCGATTGACATAGACTCTAGTACTGAAATGGCTGTCGGTCCGGTACCCCCAATCGACTTCCGACAGCGTCGTGGGTCGATTGCTCCCAGACCTCGCGTCCTGTCTACTTCGAGCTCAAGGCCTTCACGCGTCTCTCCGAGGAACTCACCTCGTAAACAGGAGTCGGTCCCCCTCCCTCGTGCTCGCATGAACTCCATCGTTACCCGCGGACTCGATGCCCCATCTAGTTCTCCCAGTCCCCTAGCTCAAATCTACCAGCCCTTTGCCTTCGACACCGACCGTGACAACGATACAGATCAGCAGGCCGAGGGCGCAACAAGCGGCCTCAATATCAATGGATACACCCCACGAAGACGAATGACTTCGATACAGAGGCGAGACGCGATGAACATCCCTGGGCAATCTGGGATGCGCCGGTTCCCTGTCACCAGTGCCCTTTCTGAGAGTCCGGATGATGGCAGCAATAGAGGGGGTCCGGAGTCTCTTAGCGAAGTCGAGGCGGGCGGTGGAGGGATGGGACTGTTGGAGAAACGATTCGACCGCATGGAGGAAAGACAGAAGCGGATCGAGGAGATGTTGACTCATCTCACGTCTAGCTTGCGCAGATGATGACTATGCGAATCTCAGGGCATGATGGTGTTTGTAAGTCCATATACTGGGGATCGAAGCGTACCCGGTCCATTGGAAGATTCCACGTATGAACGTGGCTTGGCATAGGTACATGAATATCACAAATAGCCCATCCGTTCTTCTTAGTGATACAGCTTCTCAGTATCGTTAATACGTCCTGATACTTGGCTGAACCGATTCACGGAGCTGGCTGCTGTTTCCGTACAGTACAGTGTGCAGTGTAGATTGAA